TTTTTCATCACTGTGCTGGGCCACAGTGGCTAATGAGAAGGGATCAAACAAAGAAGGAATGCGTGAGTCTGTAATTGTGGTATTTGCTTCATGGTGTCTTCATAAGTATAGTATGTTCATTTTCACAATAAATTTGCTCCAGAATTTTTCTTTTTACTTTTCACATCTCAACTCCCTCAGCATGTTTCTCTGGTCCCAAGTCCTTGTTCTTTCTCTTTTTCTTCCCAAAGACATACTTTCTTTAAGACATCTCTTTCAGTTTTATTCTTTATTCTGTCAAATTTCAGTTTGTTTGAAATGGCGACACTGTTAATAACTGCAGATAAAATAGGTCACGATTCATAATATATATTTTTATTCTACAGTCTATGGATTTAAGGAATTAATTTGAAATGGCAATTTCATTTGAAGTAGAATTTCTGAAAGAAATAGCATATTACAAATAAAAGTTTTATTTCACTATTTTATTTTTAAAGAAATAATTGTTTTATGGTTGAATTTTCTTTTTTTCATCTTTGGCCAGATATAACAAGTGACTTTTATGTTATTTCCTACTTTGTCTTTAGTGTGCTATATTTTTCAATTAAAAAAAAAAAACTCTATTGTTAGGTCTGCTGCTCTTTAATGAATCATTGGATTGGAAAATAACTCATTATCAGGCAGAGATATGTTCCTTTATTTGCATGTAGATAGTGAAGATGAATAATTTATCAAATGTTATTAGTGCAGGCTACATATTACTGGAGTCTCAGCAGGATATAATGAAATTTGTTTCATGCAGGTATGAAAATAGCATGCCTTTGCGTAGTCATTATTGAACTTTTGGCATCTCTCAGAGAATTATGTTATCATGCCAATCTTGCTCACCTCTTCATTAACTGGACTTTTGATTGAAGAGTTGAACTTATCTTGAAAATCTGTGGAATCTGGTATGCCAAATGCTTGCTTGACTCTAGCATGTTTCTATGTCAGAGCAAAAATTTTTAGAATGAATAAAGTACTTAATATTTCTTATTAAAGTGATTACTGCAAAAAGGCTATGACTGATGGTTTTATTACTTCTGGTCATGAAAAGCTGTCTGTTCGGGAGATGTTTAAGCAATATATCTTTGTGAAATTAGGGTGACGAAATATGTATGATTACTTAGGATCCTATGTCTTTACTAATTATGTATTTGAAGTTATTTTAATAATTGCTTTTAGAAAGTTGCATTGGATATGCTGCTTGCTAGATTATGTGAGGAGCTCAACAAATCTCCTCAACAGCAATAATAAAGTTGGACAAACAATCAAAAGCAAATCATGTCAGTATTATGGAAATTGACTGAAAGCATTCAATAAGCTGAGAAGTGGTTATTCATGAAAACAACTGAACTTTGGTAAGAATAGTGTTAGTCTGTGGTGTTTGTGCTGGATCTGCTTCCAATTTTCCCTCTTCTTCTCTGTGGCATGGATATTCACCAACGATGAAGCAGCCTGTGAAGGCCAGTAGCTTCTTTGCTGGTCTCAGGTTAGCTCAGTTGATTTGGAGAATTGTCAGGTACTGTGAAGATTTTGATGGCAATCGAAAGTCTGCAGCTCTCTCAGACTGAAGTTGCTGTCCTGCTTGGTGCAAACAATGGGCAAGCAAACCAACCAGGGATTTAACGGAGAATTCTGGAACCTGAATTCATGATAGGAGGCATGAGAAGCTCTCCATATACCTTGAGTTGACTGGAGGTTGGAGACATGCACAGCAGAAACTGGAGCAGGCTTCATAAGAAATACTAGAGAAAGTTTGCCAGGCAGAAAAGAAGTGGTACTGAAGGATAACTTGTATACCAAGGAGTAATAGAAAGTGCTAGAACTGTTATTTATGTGGATAAATATGTTTTTCATATTGTTCTTATTGGAGGAAATATAGTTATATAGAACAATAAATCTAGCACTATATTTTTAGTTTTATAGGAGTCCCTCCTTAACCATGGGCATATGTTCCAGGACTTCCCAGTGAATGCCCGAAATCATGGAGAGTACCAAATTATATATATACACACACTGTGCTTTTTCCTGTACTTTTACATAACTATGATAAAGCTTCATTTATAAATTAGGTAAAGTAAGAGAGATTAACAATAATAAGAAAATAGAACAGTCATAATAGTATACTGTAATAAAAGTTATCTGAATGTAATTTCTCTCCCTTTTAAGAATCTATTGTATTGTTCTGTGGATAACTGAAACCATGGAAAGCAAATCCATGAATGAGAGAGCTACTATATGCAGTGATATATGTTAACATGTGAAAGTATCACAAAAGAAGAAGGAAAAGAAATGGCACTGGAATAATTGGGTATCCGTATGAAAAAGTGAACTTAGGTTCCTACTATACACAAAAAGGAACAAAGTATATACTAGACTACATGTTAGAGCTAAAACAATAACACCTCTAGTATAAAACACAGGAAGAATCTTTGGGTTCTTGGAATAGGCACCAAAAGCATGAGCCAAAAAAGAAAAGAATTAATAAATTGAACTTCACTAAATTGGAAAACATTTACTTTTCAAGAGATACCATCATAAGAGTGAAGATATAAGCCACAGGCTAGAGAATATACTTAGAAATTATGTTTCTGATAAAGGTCTTGTAACCATAATATATAAAGTATTCTTGCAGCTTCATAAAACAAATTAATTAAAATATTGGTGATATACTAAGGTAGACATTTGTATTAGGATCATTGGGATGTGTATATAGAAAGAGATGTGTTATAAGGAATTGGCACATGCAATTATGGGGGCTGAGAAGTCCCAAGACCTGCATTTGGCAAGCTGAAAACCTGGGAGAGCTGAGGTATGTGGTTCCAGTCTGAATCCAAATGCCTGAGAACCAGGAAAGCCAACTGTGTGATAGTTCACTAGCTGGCAGGTTAAGACTCCAGGAGGACCCAGTATTTCAGTATGTTTGAAGACCAAAATGGGCCAATGTTCTAGCTTATGCAGTCAGGGGAACTTACTCTTACTCAGCCTTTTTGTGCTATTTGGACCTTCATTTGACTAGGTAAGTCCTATCCATACTGGGAGGGCAGTCTCCTTTAAGCAGTCTGCCAATTCAAATGTTATCTCATCTAGAAGCACCCTCAGTGATAAACAGTGTTTGGTCAAAATGTCTGCATACTCTGTGGGCCAAGTCAAGTTGACATATAAAACTAATCATCACAACATTTTACTGCACAAGAAATACATTTGGCTAATAGTCACGTGAAAAGATGCTCTCAACATCATTAGTCATTATGGAAATGCATATTCAAACCACAGTAATATACAGCTGCACACCTGTTAGAACGGCTGTTACCAAAAAACAGTTATAGTATGAGGTGTAGGTAAGGATATGAAGAAACTTAAAACTTGGCTGGTGGGAAGAAACTCATACATTTCTGATGGAAATATAAAATGGTACCACCACTTTAGACTAAAACTCCCAGCCTCCAATGGTCCTTTCTCTTGGCTCCCGAAGTGCTAGGATTATAGGCATGAGTCACCACTGTACCTGACCCATCACTTTGGAAAACAGTTTTTTCTTAAAAAGTTAAATATAGCATATGTCCATACAAAGACTTGTAGACGAATGATCATATAAGCATTATTATAATAGCTATTAATTGAAACAATTCAAATGCCTATTGGCTAGTCAGAGGATTACCATAATTGCTGTATTTGGTACGGGAATAGAGATGGACTATAATAAACATGAGGGAATTTTGAGGGGGCTGATAAAAAGGTTCTAAAACAGGGTTATAGTGATGATTGTAAAACTGTATAACTATTTAAAATTACTGAATTGGCGAGGCATGGTGGCTCACACCTATAATTCCAGCACTTTGGGAAGCTGAGGTGAGAGGATTGCCTGAGCTCATGGGTTTGAGACCAGCCTGGGCAACTTGGCTAGACCTCATCTCTACAGTAAATCAAAAAAATTAGCCGGGTGTGGTGGTGCATGCCTGTAATTCCAGCTACTTGGAAGGCTGAGGCAGAAGGATCACCTGAACCCAGCAGGTCGAGGCTGCAGTGACTGTGAGCATACCACTGCACTGCAGCCTGGATGACAGAGTGAGACTCCAACTCAAAAAAAATAAAAAATAAATAAAAAGTAAAATCACTGAATTGTACTCTTACAATTGGGTGAATTTTATAGAATATATTTCAGTAATGTTATAAAAACATATATATCTATATGTAAAAAAGCAAATGACTAAGTAAATATGGTAAAATAATAATGAGGAATCTAAAGGGTACAGGAATTCTTTGTACTATTCTTCTATCTTTTCTACAAGTCTGATGTTATCTTAAAATTTAAAAATTTAAAAAAAAATGACTCATAGAAGTGGTCTGATTTCCTTTTTGTCACATTGCGTAAAAATAACTTTAAATGTTTTGTTTTTTAAAAATTCAGCTCTAAAAAATGCAGTTTTTATCTCACCTTTTTGATTATTTACTTATTTAATTTGTTTGCTTTGAGCAGATACTCTGTTTTTGCTTTTTAAAAAAACTAGTTTTAGGGACCACCCCTTCGGGCCCCATTCCACTGTGGGAGCTTTTCTGTCCTCTCAATAAATTGTCCTTTCTCACTTCGAAACAAAACAAAACAAAACAAAAAACTAGTTTTTTCTGCACTGCAGGTCCAGTGCCAAAAGCGAATGTTTCCTGCTGCACATGCAGATTTGGTCTATGCTAGAGAGCATTTATACCTGTGGAATAGTATTTGATATTTCTGTTTCTCTTTCTCCTCTGTGCAATATAAATGTGCAGATATTATAAGCAAAGTACTTTTGCCTGTAGGCCTTAAACCCATTTGAAAGTATTTCTTAGATTCCAATCACAACATATTTCCTAGGTTGTTTTTCTCCCCCATAAAAAGAAAAAAAAAGTTAAATGCAAACATTAACACATTTGTTGAAAGCATTAAATTAAAGTGAAGTGTGTGACTCATGCTAATGTATATTTATATGCTTGATTTGAAGGTCACTCTGTGAGACTACTGGGTCAGAAAAAGGATAATGGAAAGCGGTTGGGGGGAGCACGATTGGATTTGCCTAAGATTAGGAAGAATCCACTGATAGAAATCATTTCTATCAATACTGGGTAAGTGTCTTTCAAACTTGCTCATAAAATATTTAGTATACTTCAGGAATTCAATTTTTTTTCCTGGAACATGTGACATAGAAAAGTAGTTGAACATTTTCTTGGGAAAGAAAAAAATCACAAAATGTACTTGAATATGGTTTTTTCTGAACTGTTTCCTGTATGTTAATTATATTTATATTTGCAGCATGATGTAATAACTGTAATTAACTTTATTCTCATTTTTGGTAATAGACATGATGTTATTTTCCATCTATACACTTGGTTAAAATCTTTGATAAAAGAGTATTTTTATTCTGTGGAATAGTTAACATGCCATCATCTTTGACTATGTTTTCAGCATAGTGAATGTTGTTTACGATACTAACCATGCTTTGATTACTAGCTATCTAAAATGTGTATTTTTTATTTTTATTTTTTATTTTTTTTTTGAGTTGGAGTCTCACTGTCGCCCAGACTGGAGTGCAGTGGCTGCTCCTGGCCACCGCAGCCTCAACCTGCTGGGCTCCGGCGATCCTTCCGCCTCAGCCTTTCAAGTAGCTGGAATTACAGGCATGCGCTACCACGCCCGGCTGATTTTTGTTTTATTGTAGAGGTGAGGTCTCGCTGCCCAGGCGGGTCTCGAACTTGCGGTCTCAGGCAATCCACTCACCTCAGCCTCCCAAAGGCGCGGGATTACAGGCTGAGCCACCAAGCCCGCCTTTAAAATGTGTATTTTAAAATGTTATTCTTATGAGCTTTAAACTGAAAAATTATCATGACTGAATGTGGATTTAATTTCCACACCTTGATTTAAAGTTCTTCTGAATTATAACTCTTGTTATACTCATTCATATTTTATTTTACTTGCATTTGTTGAATCTGGGTTCTTTAAATTATTATTCCATCTGAGAAAGTTACTGTTTTGGGAAATTTGATGAGAGGAGTACGTTAGTTGCTTTAGCCAAGGAAGAAGTTGGAAATCATTAGATCATGCTTAATTTTGAGTGAGCACAGCAGAGTAGGGTATGTGTGAATGTCAATGCAGGGTTTTAAAAAAATGTCAACCAAGTGTTGTGGTCAGTAGTATAGGGAGTCAACATGTGCATCAATGAGATAAATGAGCTAAGGTTGAAGAGCTCAGTTTTTGTCTGGGGCTTCATTTGTGTGATTGCTTTATTTTTTATCTAGCTGCGGGAATGTAGTGTGGAGTCAGAAGGGTAGGGTTAATGTAGGGAACAAAAGTAAAACATTGGAAATCGGAGCATAAAGAAAATGTGTTTTATTTTGCATTTTCTGTCACTACTGAAGTCATTTTTTACAATTCCTTGACAATTTTTGTCTTCCAAAGCCAAGATATGGATGCTGCTTAGCAATTCTTACATAAATTACATCATTTTAAAGATACTCCTATCAGGTTATCCTTAGTTCGAAGGTTTGAAATCCTCCCCCAGGCTAAACATATCTTAGAAAATACTGTCTGACCCTGTAATAGTTTATAGATACTTTCTCTTTTAGAATATATCTTGTCTTTCTTGTTATTTGCCATCGGCCAGACGTCAAATGATGGTATATGGGAACCTTTAAGGGAAATCTAATTTTCTTTGAGATTATGTTCTTGAATTTATCATTTTAAAAATGTATTTGTTACCCTTCCCCTCCCTCTCCCACCCATAATACTCTAGTTTTGGGAAAACTAACAGATGTTTCCACTTTCTTTTTGTAATGTCCAGAATTTACCAGTCTCTATTCCATTGCTGGATATATAGGCTATCTGTAGATATTTGAATGAGTGGTTGAAAGAACAAAAATACCAATTTATTGCACATAACTGAAGTTGTTTTTAGATAAATATGATTACTACTAATAACATTTTGTTAGCTTTCTGGTTCTAATAATTAAAACATGAAAGACTTTTAAGCAGATGTAGTCACAGTATATTTGAGAGTATGGTCATTATGTGCTTACCACATTATCAGGTATTGTGTTAGGCATTATGATACATACAAGATAAACATTTTCCAGGTCAACAGGGAGCTAACATGACCTGAAATAATAAAAAATGCAGCTATAAACATTGTTAATTGCTGATTGGATCTCATTTTGTTCTATATTTGGAGAGTGCTTTTAGGACCCTGCATGACTGTCTTTCTAGGGGTGAGGGCACTTAGCAGTGCCTCCTTAGACCTCTCAATTTAAGATACTCAGGTGTCTTCTGACTGCCTTTCTCTACCAGATGCAGTGGCAGCAACACCATATAAAGGGCTTCTCCTTGTCCTCTGTCATCAGACCAGACTACTGCCATCATCAGCACACATGTGGAAAATAAAAACTTCAAGTGCTATCTTTTTATGTTACCTGAAATGATAGCTTCCAGAAAATTATTATCTTTGAGGTATTAGAAATATTCTTTAAAAACAAGAATCAAGCCTCCAAAGCAATCCTGTCGGAAGTTTGAATATATGCGGTATCACACTTTTACTTGGATGGATCTTTTTTAATGTTTTGGAACCTCATCTGATATTATAGTCCTTTTGGAAGGGCTATGCATTTTACTATATTTAATACTTATTTATTGACTCCTTATATCTAACATGGTGTCAAAGACACTCTTATTTTTTCAGATTATCCTAGACTATTTTTCAAATATTCTGATTATATAAACCATGGCGCTGTTTTGAATTTGCTCACTTGGGTATAACTCCTTCAGCCTTGGTGCTTTCCTCAGAGACAACTATTAGAAGATTGTGACACCTTTGTCCAAGAGGTAATATCTCAAGATAAAACATTTTTCAAAAAGAATTTAGCCAACTTTATAGTCATTTACTAATTTGAAAATTATAGGTCCATATCACTTTTTACATATTAGGCACTGATGTTTGCAACTAACTAAATTTTATCATGTAAAATTATTACAGTTTGTGAGTGTGTGTGTGCAGGGGTGGAAGAGTAGACAATAGTAACTACTAATGAGAATTAGTTGTTTTTCTATACCCAGCTGTCAGGTTATAATGAAAGCAAGTCCCGGTCCAAAATCTGCAATAAGAGTTTATTAAGCGAGCTGGCATGGTTCAGCTTCTTGTAAGCTTGATGAAGTCCTCACTCTCTCTTTTTGGGTAATTAAATCAAACCTTACAAGAAAGGCTCACTTGAGTCAGATGAGACAATATAGTGTCACACTGTACACAACATAGCCTCAGGCACCCAGAATCCTCTGCTTAGTGTCTGGAATGAAGGTGGGTCAGAGACCAAGCCAGAATTGCATCCTTAGTGTTCTAGGCCACTGCTAACCAAAGTGTGTTCTGTGCATCAGTGCCACATTGTTAACTATTGATTGCTGGTCTGTAACAAGTGTAGAAATTGAGAGCAAGCATTTGAAAGACATTTAAGGCAGTTTAAATTGCTGCAATGTGTCATAATTCATTTTCATTGTATTTGACAAGATAATTGGTTTACAAGAGGTTGGAAATAAAAATCCTGGTCTGTCACTGTAGATGCTTTGAGAAACACTGGTTTAGGCTAGTGTGCTTGAAGTTTCTTTACCCTGTTCTGGAATATATTTTAGCCAATCTACTTATCTTGAGTGTCTCTGATTTTGCTAATGAGATCTCATTTCTACTGTCTTTTATGGTGATTAGCAGTTAACCACTACTTTCAAAAATGAAAACTTATTATTTATAATGCTAATTAGCAAAAGCTCTAGTGTTGGCCAAAGATGAAAGCTAAACCATGTGCAGTAATCTCTTCTGAAAGGTGGCATATCTGATTAAATACTAGGTAAAAGAATGAATGCACTCAGAGTTGTAGCTTAAACCAACTCACGTAATTTATGTCACGCTCTCTACACTATATTCTTTCACAAGTAAATTTAGACATCCTAGCATGGTTCTAATGAAATTTAAAATCTAGACGTTATAACTGTTGCATTGGCACATCCTTAAGATGAGTACAGAGTTGTTGTTATTCATGTTCTTCTAAGAGCTTATGGAGGGCAGGAAACTTTTCTCTTGGTTATGAGCCTAGAATGACACCAACCTAATCTGGAGAAGGTGGTAGAATCTATGGCACATTGGAAAGAGCTCTGCCCTTGGAGTTTGGAGTCATGGACACGGCTATTTTCTAGCTACATGACTTAGATTAGATAAGATCTTAGAGTCAGCCTTTTTTCTGGATACAGTGCTACCTATTGTATATATAGCCTCATACATTAATAAGTATTTTCTTAAGATTTTTGATGTTGCTTTGTCTTATACTCTACTGATACTCTTTGAGACCTCTTCCCACCTTGATTTCTTCCCATCCTTTTTACTATTTAGGCATGAAATTTTCTGGGACTAGGATGTTAGGTTAGGACTTTATGCTATTCATCATTGATTCTTCACCTGTTTTTCAATTTTAGGAGAATGTTTGAGAAACAAACTTCTAAAAAAATTCCTCTTAGTTTCTCCTGTAGTTTTTAGTAATGTCTTTCTCATGGTATCCACTCAGTTAAGTATCTCAGTTAACAGCAGCGTTACTTAAATGCACAAAAATTTTTCTGGCTGAGCTGGGATATAGTTCTTTTTTTTTTTTTTTTTTTTGAGTTGGAGTCTCACTCTATTGCCCAGACTAGAGTGCAGTGGCATGCTCCCGGCCACCGCAGCCTTGCCCTGCTGGGCTCCAGTGATCTTTTTGCCTCAGCCTTCCACGTAGCCAGAACTACAGGTGTGCACTACCACACCTGGCTAATTTTTTATTTATTGTAGAGATGAGATCTCGCCAAGTTGCCCAGGCGGGTCTCAAACCCGCGGGCTCAGGAAGGCAGTCCACTTGCCTTGGCTTCCCAAAGTGCTGGGATTACAGGGATATAGTTCTAATTGCTTCTCTTGCTATAGATGATTGTTTAGTAGAAAAAAGAAGAATATGTTAATTTGGACTATGAATGAAGTGAAACTTATCTCAAACAATTAAATGTGTGAAATTGAAATATTTATGGCAGTTCTGAACTTGTTACAGCATTTTTACTCCTTTATCCAAAAACC